TGTTTAAAGCTTCGTTAATATAATAATATCGATATTTAATAATAAAATATTAAATATTACTAAAAAAATAATAATATAATATAATTAATTATATGAATGATAATTTAAAATAATAACACCACAGCATACTTTTGAAGACGGTGATAAGAATTTTTGACATTTTCTTCGTAAGGAGGCATTCGGGAAGTTCTTTCAGGAAAAGTTTCAGCAGATCCGCCAAGTCATGCACCGATACTGCATCGTAATCTACCGAATCTGTAGTAGCAGCAGCAGCATCAGTAGCAGTAGTAGTAGTAGTAGTAGTAGTAGTAGTAGTAGTAGTAACAGAAGTAGTAGTAATGGTAGTAGCAGCATTAGCAGTATAGTAGCGACATAAAATTCTAACCAGGATTAACAAGGACGTCCCTCTTTAACTGCTGTACCCGGGACTTTACACCGGATTTCCGGAAAATTCCCTCGCACTCATTTATCGACCGCCTAATTTTTTTCATGGCCAGGAGGATACATTTAGGCAGGGCCTGGCCGTGCAAGAGATGCAAAACTTCGAGTGATGTGCCAAATGTTGCGGATGATTGCTGGTCGTTAAGATTTATCGGTTTCGGTCTGCGGTTTGCGAGGCTGTTTTTGATCGGTCGGTTGGTTAATTGTTTGTTTAAATAATTGTTTAGTTGTTTAAACGAATGATTGATTGATTAGTTGATTGATTGATTTAGTTGATTGATCGAGTTATAATGATACATAATAGCGAATTAAATGGGTAAACTGATAGTTCTATAAAATTCATAATTAACATCCTGTATTATTATTGCTATTATTATTATTATTAGTTACAGTTTATAATGCATAATTTTCCTTTTCAACATAATCATATTATCATCATAAGCTCTTTCTCGCTAAACACCCTATCTATCCTTTATCATACTTTCAATTCTGTCATAACTATCACTCATCATCAACCTATCGTCATCATCATCATCACTCCGTGGTCGTCATCATCATCACCCCGCCATCATCATCATTATCATCACCCCGTCATCATCATAACCCCAACCTCTTCCACATTTTCCGGTCTATGGCTCTATAGTTTTCCAGTATTGATACGATCCTAAGCAGGCAGTACTTTTCCAAGATGGCGACCTGCCTAACGTCCAGATGGCTCAGACTGTTGTTAGGCATTCTGTACTTGTTTGGCAGATTGGGGGGTCCAGTGGCGAAACTTTGCCATCTTACCGTACGTCGACTGTTGATGTAATGATGAGAGTGATGAGATTATGTTGTTGCAATGATGAAAGTGATGTGATGATGAGATTGACGTGATAATGTGAATGTGATTAGAATGTAAGGATGAGATTGATGAGATAAATGACATGAAGATAATCGTGAAGAAGAGGATTTTCGCGATGGTGATAGAATTTATATAAGAATTCATCTTCTAGTGTGGCCACCGAAACAGAAATATTCCACGTCTTAGCAAAAATGTTCACCATTTATTTAAAAAAATTATAAATATAATCCATGACAGGCATGTTTGATGTTAGACACACACACACACACACATACACACACACACACACACACACACATACACACACACACACACACGCACACGCACACATACACGCACACACACACTCTCCACACGCACGCACGCACTCTCCACACGCACGCACGCACACATACACACGCCACAAATGCACACACACTCACACAACACACACACACATACATACATATTTATATAACATTCTTCTGCATAGTGTTAATTATGTTGCCAATTAAAGAGAGACAATCTTCCTCATTGTTTTACATACACACCTAAATAAATTTATGCATACATACATACTAACAAACATATACATACACACATGCATACATACATACATACATACATATATACATACATACTAACATACATATACATACACACATGCATACATACAGGCATACACACATGTATACATACATACATTAAACATATAATATTTATTCGGATATGTAACGTATGATTCATCTTTGTTTTGTCAGTTTTTTCATCAACAACATCTTCGTCATCATCATCATTGTCGTCCTCTTCCTCTTCCTCCTCATCATCATCATTATTATTATTTTATTTATTATTCTTATTATCATTATTATTATTAAGTATTGTTATCATAACTGCTATCAACATTATCAGCATCATCATTATGTGCTTATCAGTCGCCAATAATTTAATAATTATATCTTTACCTATCAATCAATCAATCAATTATTCATTCATTCAAGCACTCTCATTCATTCATTCCTTCATTCCTTCATTCCTTCATTCCTTCATTCATTCATTCATTCATTCATTCATTCATTCATTCATTCATTCATTCATCCATCCATCCATTCTTCTATCCATCCACTAACTTAGATGGCCTCCTAGTTAGGGAGGAACCAACGCCAGAATCTCTTCTTTCTTTAGAGTCATCCAGAGAGCTATTATTATCCGGAAAAACCCAGCCGTCATCGTCATCATCATCGTCTTTCTTATTATTATTAGTATTGTTATTTTTGTTATTATTATTGTTGTTGTTGATTTTGTTGTTTATAGAGACAGCCGATATTTCAACGTCTGCTTTAGCATTCTTATTGAAGATGATGATGTCATTATTATCATTAACATTAACGTTGACGTTTATATTGTTGTTGTTGTTGTTGCTGTTGTTGTTTTGGTTAATATTGTTGTTGTTGCTGTTGTTGACGATGACGTCATTTCCGTTGTCGTCATAAATATTCTCAGTGTTATCCAATGACGCAATTGGAGCTTTCTTATATGCCATACGGCGAATCGCAGCTGTATTATTATTACTATTATCATTATTATTATTATTATTATTATTATTAGTAGTAGTAGTAGTAGTAGTAGTGGTAGTAGTAGCAGCAGTAGTCGTAGAAGTAGTTGTAGTAGCAGCAACCGCAGTAGTAGTAGCAGTAATGTTTTTCATAGTACTATTAAAAGCATTACCATCGGCGGATTTAGTGTTAAGAGAACTGATGTTGTTGGTAATTGTGGTGGTAGTAAAAGTTGATAATGAGTTACTGTTGATGTTGTTGTTGTTGATGTTGTTGTTGATGTTGTTGTTGTTGATGTTGTTGTTGTTTTCGTTGTAGTTGACATTGAGTATAAAGTCGTTGTGCGATTCGCTACTAGATGATGGTGTTGTCAGATTACCTAAGTGATTAAGAAATGGTTATGATGGGATGATGGTGGTTATGACGGTGATCAAGATGGTGATTACAATGATGATTAAGGCGACAATGATGATGATGATGGTGGTGACGATGATTGTGACGATGTTATGATGATGGTGATGATGACGATGTGATGATGGTGATGATGACAATTCTAGAGCATATAAACGATATAATTACGTTAATATGCAACCTACCAGTATAAAAATAAGCTGTTATGCATTACAGAAATTTCATTGGCATGATATGTATATATATATATATATATATATATATATATATATATATATATATTTATAATTATATATGTTTATATGTCTATATAATAACAATAATAACAACAATAATAAATAACAATAATAATAAGATTAGTAAGAATAATAAGAAGAACTTACCGCTCAAACTGATAACACTCCGAGAATCATAATCATCATCGTCGTCGTCATCATATCCTCCGAGACAACGGTGATGATGATCATCATCACCGTCATCATTACTAAGATTCTTTCTTCTAGAACTTGTGGTACTTGTAGTAGCGACAGAAGTTGTAGTACTGCTATTCAATGTTTCATCTAACAAGTATATATTCTTGTATAAATCATCAAGTATTTCGTCAAAGGGATCCTCATTACCATTAGCCGATTTGAACAACAAAGATGATGACGATAAGGATGATAATGGCTGTGGCTGTGACGATGGTGATGGTTGTTGAACTGGTGGTGTTGGTAATGATGCTGACAAATCTGATTTCTCGATGTACATGTTGTTAAGTTTTTTAATAGTGGTCTTCCTCAACTTAACGCTTTTTTTGGTAAGAATGTTGCTGATGAATTGAAATTTTTTAAATGATCTTTTTTCACAAATGACGTCATCGTCATTAATATCATCACCATTATTATCCTTATTGTGGCCAGTAGTAGTAATGATAGCAGCAGTAGTAGTAACAGCTGCAGTAGTTGCAGCAGCAGCAGCCGTAGTAGTAGCATCTTTTCTACCATCTCCTTCACTCACAAAATGTCTCCCAACATTATCATCAACAACATCATCATTCGGATTATTTCTTCGATCTTGCATGCTTGGAACAATGTCAACACATTTTAAAAGATCAACCTTAGCCCTTAACTCTGGCGATATTTGATCGCTATTCGGGGAGCTGATTCTATTTTTAGTAATTATTCTTACGTCATCTGACTTCCGGTCTGGAGAGTTGATTCTATTATTGGAAATTAACATGACGTCATCGGATTTTCTGACGTTTTTGAGTCTAAGTGAACGACGGACGGATGTTGAAGCGTTGTTGAGCATTCGGATGAAAGGACTTTTGAATTTTGGTGTGGTTTGTGGCGTAGTTGGTGTCGATGGCGATTGAAGTTGCTGCTGCTGCTGTTGCTGCTGCTGTTGAAGTTGTTGTTGTTGATGTTGTTGCTGATGTTTGTGTTGTTGTTGTTGATCTTGGTCCATTTTAAACAGCTTCCGAAACATTTTAGGTGTCTTTTGTTGCTCGTTTGATTGTTGTTTTTGTTGCGGCGACGATTCCTGGTGAAATAGTTGTTGCTCAAATTGTTGTTGTTGAAATCTTTGTTGTTGTTTGCCCGGCGCTTGTTGCGCAAACTGCCTACGTTGCGAATGAAATAACGGAATGCATCTATTGAAAAAAAATTCGTCATCACCATTACCATCATCTTTATCTTCTTCAGCAGCAGCAGCAGTAGTAGTAGTAGCAGCAGCAGTAGCACTCAATTTATCAGCCCCATCTCCAACCTCAACACTGCCAGCATTGTCAACATCGTCAACAGCATTTTCGTTAATGGAGAGAAGCAAAGTAGATGATGGAGTGGACGACTGTGATGGTGAAGATGATGCCCGCGATGAGAGTTTCGTCCCGACATTGGCACTTTTCTCAAAAAGTTCATTTTCGAATTCATCAGTATTATTCCGAACTTTATTATTATTGTTATTATTATTATTAGTTTTATTATTACACAAAATTGTTTGTCTATTAACGATCCTGTAATTTTCGATAATCAGACAGCTGTCTGAGGTTAATTTTTCACTCGCATCATTCTTCAACGATTCACTCTTTACTAAAAATTTTTTACTTGGCGGAGTTAGAGTCGACCTAGTAATAGAGCTTGTAACTCTAGCAGTATCAGAAATACAATTAAAAGTATCGCCAACAATAGCAGTAGTAATAGTAAATTTACCAGTTGGAGCAGTGTAAGTATTGAAAGTATGATCATCGCCACTATACTTCCTGTATCTTATACTGCTACTACCTTTTTTATTACCCAAGTCATCAATAGTTAAAGTACTAACAAAAGTGTTAGTAGTAGCATTAGCAGTATTTGTAGTAGAACTAGTAGCAGCAGTAGTATTGGTACTGTTATTACGATCATGTTTTCTCCTTCTACAATGCAGGGCTGAATGATTGAGTTCCAACTCGATTGGGGACGGTAGAGATTTGTTGAGGTTGATGATGGCACTTGCGCTGCAGTCAGGCGTGTTTGTGAGACTGTCTGACAAACTGTACAGTGAATCGAAAACATCTAAGTAATTTTTTGAACGTACGAAGCTGCTTAAGCCGCCGTCGTCGTTGTCGTTGTCGTTAGTTATCCTGTGGCTAGAAGCCGTAGTAGTCATGACAGTTGTAGCAGTGGTAATATTTACATTACTATCTGTAGTAATTGTAGTATTTGTTGTGGTAGGTGTAATAAAATTGAGGATGATGTCACCATTGTTTTCATGCTCAACATTCAGAACTGGATGGTTCTGGTGGAAATGTTCTAAGAATAATAAAGTTTTGCGAAATTCGCATTCCTCATCGTTTATGTAGTCGTCAGCTGATGAAGAAAACTTGGACAGATTTTCGCAGCTTAGAAAATCGTCGGTATTTGTAGTAACGGTCATCATGGAATCGTGCATCGGAGTTCGGTCGGAGCCTTGCGATATCGTATCGTCGAGTTCGGTATTGTCGATACTGTCAATTGAATGAGAATTCTTGATGATCAAATTTGGTTTATCTTCAACTGAAATGCATTTCGATTGATCTTTCGAGTAAAATAAGTCGGCAGTCGGTACGATATTCGGGTCGGTACGACTGATACAACAATCAACGGTTTGTTTGGAAGTTTCAAGTGGGTTGACGGACATATTCGGGTCGTTGTGGATGTGCTCCGTTACGTGATCGCTGTAAGTTCTCGACCACCTCTGTTTCTTCGCATCATAAATCCATTTCCGGCTGAGAGCGAATGATTTGTTGTTGTCGTCATCGTATTTAGTGTTTTTGTTGTTGTTGTTGTTGCTGCTGAGGTTGTTTTTGATGTAATTGCTGAAGTTGTTTTTTATGTTGTTGTTGCTGCTGCTTATGACGTTGGAGTTGTTGTTGTTGTTGTTGTGATTATTATCGTTGTTATTTCGGTTGTAGTAGTTGTAGTTGTTGTTGTAGTTGTTGACGTTTGCGTTTACATTTTCAACGATGTTTAGATCGATGGAGTTCGCGCTATCTCTATTTTTATTTTTCTCATCATCATCATCATCGTCGTCGTCACCCTCATTGCGTTCATGATTTGCATTCACCCCAACCGCAAGCTGTTTGCAACCGTCAATATTTATTTTAACGTCACCACCATCATCGTCATCTTCTTCCTCTTTGTCTTCCCCACCACCACCATCATCATCACATACGTTGTCGTAATCAGATAAACTATTGGAATCCTAAATATTTCAACGATATCATGTGAATTTCAATGAAAGAACGATCCGACAAATGAATGAATGAACGAACGATTGAATGAATGAATGAATGAATGAATGAATGAATGAATGAATGAACGAATGAACAATTGAATGAACGAATGGATGAATGAATGGATGAATGAATGAATGAAGTAACTGTTTAGAAGAAAAAAGTTTAAAAGGACTGAATGAATAAAAATGTAATAAAAAGACAAAAAATTATATGAAAATAAACATTTCATAAGTCAAAGATTTCGAATTCAATGAACGAAAGAAAGAACGAGACAGCAAGATGAATGAATAAGAAACTACAAAAGACACATTTACACAATCTTAAGAAAAAAATTTTTAACACAGACACCAGACAAACACACACGCACATACGCACGCATATAAACACAATAACACACATGCACCAACTCATTCATGTACGTTCGTACATATCACACATTGCGTTCATTAAATGTTAACATGTAACACGCATACAAACACACATACACACTTTCACACACAGACACACACACACACAGAGACACACACAAACCAACACAACCGATGTCAAATCAATTAATTTGTTAATTTGTAATTCAAGCGGCTCGCAGAAGCTAACGTTAAAAAAGAACATAAAAAAGGAAGAATACATCAATACTAAAACTACTGCTGCTGCTACTGCTGCTACTACCACTACTATGACCACCACCACCACTACTACTACTACTGATACTATTATCGTTATTATTACTACAATTTTATGATAGCTACATAATTAATAGTAATAGTAGTGATACTGCTAAGCTAATATGCCATGCTACTAACAAAGCAATCATAATTGGAAACAGTGTGTATATTAAATTATACCAGGCTTATATAAATATATATATATATATATATATATATATATATGTGTGTGTGTGTGTGTATGTGTGTGTGTGTTTGTCTGTGTGCATTCATATATATATACGTGCATGCATTTAAGGTTTGTGCGCGTGTCTGTGATTTTGACTGTCGTGCATTTGTTGTAATGAATATTTTTATATGGCACCGCATAACTAAGCTAATTTTGACCATGTATGCATCTACGTATAAATGAATGAATGAATGAACGAATGAACGAACGAATGAAAAATGAATGTAGTAAACGTAAAATTATTGACGAAGCGAATGAATGAATGAATGAATGAATGAATGAACGAATGAACGAATGAATGAATAAATGAACGAAGGAAAGAATGGGTAAATATGTGAAAATAAGATAAGATAAACAAAACTAGATTATATCCAAAAGCAAAATGGTAAAAACACATGCTTCATGAATATATAAACTCGTCATACAAACACACCTACCTACACACACACACACACAAACACAGAAAGGGAGAGAGCGGTTAAAAGAGAGAGAAAGAAAAACAAATATGCTCATAAAATGTCTATTTTATATTTATTTATTAGCGAATTAAACCATTTTTTAGGTATTTTTTTGTTATTATGGTAAGAATAAAATATAACCGTATTATAATTTTGCTGAAGAGAATGTCGGCGACGATGATGATGAAGAGGATGATGATGACGTTGGTGATGACGATCATGATGATGATGATGATGATGATGATGATGATCTACATGCTCGTCCGGATGGTAGAACGTTGCACATCTGTTCAAGATCTCAATGCGTCTGAAAATGCATTAATGAATGAATGAATGAGTGAATGAATGAATGTATGAATTGATGAACGAATAAAAAAGCAAGTAAAGAATGAAAGAATAAATGGATGAATGAATGACTAAACAACTTCTTGAATAAGATGAATGAGCTAATGTAATAAATAGCCAAATGAATAAATGTTACTGACAAACAAGTACATAAATTATACACATTATTGATTTAAGTATACCTACAGACACACACAACCACACTCACACACAACCACACACGCAATTTTTCTAAGGAGACTTTTTCATCCTGATGAATTTTATTAAGGTTAAAAAAAAACTTTTAATATTTGACATTTTTAATAAATGATAATAAATTTCATCAAGATGATAAAAGTCTCCTTAGAAAAATTGAGAAACTCAACTACAAGTTGAATAATGCCAAAAACGCAGTGGTCTTTATAAATAATTGTATATATATATATATATATAAATAATTGTATATATATATATATATTCGTTTAATGAAATATATATATATATATATATCATATATATATATATATCATATATATATATATATATATTGTTATACATACATGTAGCAAAGTTACAAAAAAACATTTCTAACAACATAATTCAAGTGCAACCACATACAAAATTGCGCGCGATCAAACAAAAATTTTTCAATCGCACACACACGCACATACATACACACATACATACACACATACATACACACACACATACATACACACATACACACACACACATATATATATATATACATATATACAAACTCATATTGTATACATGTATGGCAAGCCTGGATGATGGTCTTAAAGCCATGTTGACATACCACTATTTACACCTGCCTGCTTTATCTTACTTACATGGTTATAGAGAAACAAACACACAAAAAAAGAATGAGAGGAAGAATGAGAGAGAGAGAGAGAGAGAGAGAGAGAGAGAGAGAGAAACAAAAAGAGAGAAAGAAGAGAGAGAGAGAAACAAAAAGAGAGAAAGAGAGAGAAACAAAAAGAGAGAAAGAGAGGATGAGATAGACAAAAGAAACCAGAAAAAAAAGAGACAGTATAAAATATTCTGAAAGAGAGAGAAACAGTGATTCATATAGAAGCAAGCAAACATACAATCATACATACATAAAATGCATACATACAAACAAACATAAAAATACATACAAACATACATACAGATTACAGAGACATACTTATACAAAGCCTGTAACGAAATGTCATCAAGGAATGCATGGTCTCGCTGTACACTTAGCAAGTCCAATGGAAATTGGCGATCTGTCGGTCATGATGATGATGTTTATAATGATGATGATGATGATACCTCTAATAATAACAACAATAATAATAATTTATATAATAATAATAATATAATATATAATAATAATATAATTGACGTCTTTTTCTTTCAATAGCACATGCATGCGCAAGCCATTGTTAAGTTCTTTCACGTCATTATTATCGTTGTTGTGATTTTTATCCTTGCTAATGTTGTTACTATTATGAATATCATTATTATTATTATTGTTGTTGTTGTTACTTGACGCTGTTGTTTAAGTCATTAATAATATTGCACCCGAATGAACTCGTCACCAAAGAATTTATTAGGATCGTCATCATCGTTCTCTAGTACACGTCAAAATCATCATCATCAACATCATTCTACGCTGCTGCTACTGCTGCTACTGCTACTACTATTACTACTACTACTATAACTATTATTCATCCTAACTAACATAATTTATGCACCCAGGTTTATTAATATTCATGAGTTAGAAGTCACCAAAGAAACAACGTACCTCTGTACATGTGGGCGTATTGGGGAAAGCCCGTTTCAACCAGCCAATCACAGGCTTCGGATGCCTGAAGCTCTGTAAATTGCAATAATATTATCAAGGTCAAGTTCAAATAAATAAATTATGAGGTCATCTGAGGTCATGTGAATAAGTTATTAGATCATATGAGTGTGTTGTTGGGTCACACAAATAAATTATAGGCTCAAGTGTCAGGGTGTCATGGTCGTGTGAATAAATTATAAGGCCATGTGAATAAACTATGAGGTTACGTAAAAAAATTACGTTGTCATACAAATAAATTATGAGGTCATATGAATAAATTATGAATAAACTATAAAGTAATATGAATAAATTATAACAAACAATGTTATTCATTTTTCTACTGACGTTATTAACATCGTGTGAAAATATGTATATATGTTGTTTACTATTCAGCTTGAGATTTCAATGTTGATGTCACTGTTGTTGTTGTTGTTGATGATGACGATGATGTTGTTGTTGATAATGATAATGAAGATAATGATGATGACGACGACGACGACGACGATGATGACATAAATTTGTCTTACGTCATTCGTATTAAAATTTCAAGTATGTATGCAATAAAAAAAAAAACATTCGTTCGGAGGTATGTCAGTTCGATTGTATGTTTTCATGTGTGTGTGCGTGTGTGTGTGCGTGCGTGTGTGTCTATTCACATTCACTTCAAATGAGTTCGGGTTAATCTCTGTGGGTTACCACTAAGGGACTACGATAACAATAATTTCGCAATTAAGAAGAAATAATTTTATTATTATTATTATTATTTAATATTATTATTTTATTATTATTATTATTATTTATTATAATTATTGCTACTATAATATATTCGTAATAATATTCCCGCCTCTACCATAGGCTGGATGTTACTTACAATTAAAGAGAAATAGTTTTATTATTAAGTTTATGGTTATTATTATTATTATCATCATCATTATTATTATCATTATTATTATTGTTGTTGTTTTTATTATTGCTGTTATTATTAATAATAATTTTACTATTGTTACCCATTCTTGGTATGGAATTTTCTTGCATACAACAATGCCCAATTCAGAGACATTAACAGACATTAATGAAAATAATAATAATAATAATTACATTTAATTATATTTAATAATAATAATAATTATTAATATTATTAATACAGTATTAGCATAATAAAAAAAGCGTTTAGAGTTTTTTTTAATATTTCGATAAAGAGGAAACTTTTAAACTTGCATTTAATAAGTGCAGATTAGTTTAGTAATTAGGAATATTTATCTCATGGAATTCTCTTCATTTATTCTTTCTTTCATTCATTCTTTCTTTTGTTCATTCATTCATTCATTCATTCATTCATTCATCAATTCATTCATTCACTCACCAGCGATTTGAGGCACATACTGCAGCAGACTCTCAAACAGTAGCAACGAATTTTGTCTGTGCTTGTTTTGTAATTGTTGTTGTTGATGCTGATGTTGTTGTTGTTGTTGATGTTGATGCTGTTGATTTTGTTGTTGCTGATGCTGTTGATGTTGATGTTTTTGAGGTAGTAAACATAGATGATATTGTTGTAGTTGTTGCTCAGGCGGTCGTTGCAATTGTTGTTGTTGATGTTGTTGTTGATGTTGAAGTTGTTGATGTTGATGTTGAAGTTGTTGTTGTTTCTTATAAGAATCCATCTTCAATTTGTTTTATTTTGCTCGCTAAACGCTAAAAAATTTTGGGAGAAAAAATGAAATAAACACGTACATTACATTGTTTTAGCACATAGGAAGCTCAAATATCATTCACCCAATTTCTCATCCTATCACTCATTCATTTCATTGTTTACAATTTTTAATATTATTACTATTATTTATTCTTTATTCATTCATTCATTCATTCATTCATTCATTCATTCATTCATTCATTCATATTGTTTATGTATGTTTACAGCGTTAATTTCTCACGGGGTATCGATCATTCAATCAGCAAAACTCTCAATCAATCGACACTTCATTCTGTACCATCCATCCATCCACTCGTATATCCATCCATCCATATATCCATCCATCCATCCAATCAATCACTCCATCGTTCATTTATTTATAATTTCATTCATTCATTTATCCATTTATCAATTCATCCTTCCATCAATATATCAATTTACAGTCAACCGGTCAGACGATCTTTAACTCATTCATTCATTTATTCATTCACTCATTCTCCATCCATGCTTTCACTCATTCCACATGCAAATACCATCACCATTACCATCTTATCAATATTTTAATCTGAACTTTGAACTGTGTCAGGGTTGGTTGGCTGATGGTTGGCCAATTGAAGGTTTTATTTAAAATGTTTGTTTACAGAATGTGCCATATAAATTTAAAAAAATTTAATTTAGTTTTCTGATGACAAATCAACTATTTTCATCCTTATATATATATGTGTGTGTGTGCGTGTGTTGTGCTTATGTGAGTGATTGTATGTGTGATTGTGTGCGTAGGTTTGTGTGTGTGTGTGTGTGAGTGTGTGGGTGTTTTCGCTTACTTATTTATAAACTCTAAAATTATTCGATCATAGATTTACCATCAAAGTTGAGATATGTGTGCCAATGAATTTATGATAACTGCTTGTGTGTGCGCGCGTGTGTTTGTACGTGCGAATGAATAACCGTGTGTATGTGTCAAAATGTATATATGTATGTGTATAAATGATTTTGTGTGCGTGTGTGTGTGTTTGTTTGTATACAAAGTCGCATGATTTATTTACTGGGTGTATTTTTTGTACAAGGTCTTCTTATTATAATCTTTAAAGAAATAGTAGTAGCAGAGGTAGCAGTAGTAGAAGTAGAAGTAATAGTAGTAGTAGTAGTAGCAGAGTAGTAGTAGTAGCCGCAGTAGTAGTAGTAGTAGTGGTAGCAGTAGTAGTTGTAGTAGTAGTAGTAGTAGAAGTAGTAGCAGCAGAGTAGTAGTAGTAGCAGGTAGCAGTAGTAGAAGTAGTAGGTAGTAGTAGTAGTAGTAATAGTAGCCATAGTAATAGAAGTAATAAAAGATGATAACAAAGATAATAACACCACCATGAGCTTAACATCTACATTAATAATGAACATGCAACATCCTACTGTTCTAAGTATATATATATACATATATATATACAAACATACATATACAACACATACACACTCACACACACTCGCGCGCGCACGCACACACATAATTTATGCGCATATAATTTTATAATTGCTACAAAAGAGACCCAACTAAACTAAATATTAAAATAAACATAATTATAACCAAACACTGAAGCAATTATGTTAATGAGCTAGTGGCGATGATGATGATGACGATGATGACGATAATAACGATGATGGTTATGGTAATTATGATGATGATGAGGATGACGATGATGATGATAATGACTATGGAGATGACGATGATGACGATTATGTACGATAATACAATGACGTCATGGCGATGATGATGATGATGATCGTAATATGTCATGATGATGATGATGACCAATGATGATAGATAATTATGATAATAATTATGATAATAATTATGATAATAATTATGATAATAATTTAATAATGATGGCGATGACAAAATAGAATAAAGGAATGTCATAGCTCAATTTAAAAAAATACTTTTAACAAAACTTATATCAATAATACTACTACTGCTGCTGCTACTACTACTACTACTACTGCTACTACTACTACTGCTTCACAACTACTACTACTAATAGTAAATTATTACTAACAATATTTCAGAACGTTAGCAACTTTTTAAAACTTGAAGATTTTTCAAATATTATTAATGAATACACCTTGTGGATGGTGATGAAGCAGACGATTATGATTACGATGATGACGAGATGTGATTACAAGGATGATGATGATGGTGATGATGATGGTGATGATGATGGTAATGATGATGGTGATGAGGATGATGATGAAGGTGATGAGGATGAAAGTTATGATTGTAGTAACAGTAAATTTTTAGTAAAATGCAAACCGACATACTTTTAGGCCTTTACGATAATTTTATTTTTTTGGACGACATATCAAAAAACTTCCTCCTAAGCATCACCATCCATTTCATCATCGTCATCGGTGTGTTGATGTTGTTGTTGATTTTGTTGTTGATGTTGTTGATTTTGTTGATGATTTTGTTGTTGTTGTTGATGATGATGATGTAATTATCGATGTTGTTGTTCTTGTTGTTGACGTCATTGCGATTTCATATTCTTTATTTTCTATTATATAACGTTTAAAAAAACAAAAATAAATTAAAACTTTTTAAAAAAGGTAACATATAAGAACGACCAACAACCGACAATAACAACAGAAACAACATATGCCATAATAATACAATTATTATTATCCATATACATTTTAAACATATATAACAATAATAATAATAATAATAATAATAATAATAATAATAGCAAACTCACCAAAAGTAAATAACCCCAACCGTATACAGCATTTGTACAGCTCACATGTGTCTTAAATGTTTATAATTTATCCACATATGTGCCTATACACCTTTTATATATCATATATATATATATATATATCCTATAAATGTATATAAATATATATGTATGTATGTATATATATATACATGTATAGATATATATATATATATATATATATACGTTATATCAAAGTGCATAGTTACATTACTAAATCCTTATATATATAAAAATCATATAATTGTCTATATATATACATATATATATATATATATATATATATATATATATATATATACATACACATGATATATTGCATACAAACATCGGATGACACATAATTTTTCATCTTCAAATGCACACCGTACACACGCTACTGCTTATTTTATAATGTAATATATATATATATATATATATATATATGTGTGTGTGTGTGTGTGTGTTTGTTTGTGTGTACGTGTGTGTGTACGTGTGTGTGTGGCGTGCGTGCGTTTGTATGTGTTTGTATATACGTTTATTAAGTTACAAATAATGACTAAATGAATTAATTAATATTTTTTTTTATTAATCTTTAAAAATCAGGATCTTACAGGCCCAGAAACTGTAACAACATGCAAGGCAGTAGAACAAAATTAAACAAATAAGTGAGAAAATAAATACAAAAAGTAAGGAAGAAAAATGATAAAACATGAAAAATAAAATATGCTAGAATAAAATAAATAATAAAAATAATAAAAAATAAGAAAAATATATGAATGATTAAACGAATGAGTGTAAATGGATGAATAAATGAATGAATGAATGAACGACGGAATGAGTACCTTCATTAAAAATGCCAATCAAGGCGTGCCAAATCTGGAATGAATGGAGCCTTGAAATTAGTTCGATGTTAGGAATTCTCAATTCAAATCATTAAACGATTAATATGTATGCATACATGTGGTATGTGTGTTTGTTTATTTGTTTGTTTGTATGTACGTGTGTCCGTGTGTGTGTTCGTGTGTTTGTGTGTGTGTGTGTGTGTGCAAGTATATGTAACGCACCTACCTACTCTGCCACATAACTAATTAATAATTAGTTAATGATTGCCGTGCTATTAAATTGGGTTACAATTAAAAGTACATGTGTGTTTCTATTTTGTTTGGATGTATGTGTGTGTGTGTGTGTGTGTGTGTGTGTGTGTGTGTGTGTGTGTGTGTGTGTGTGTGTGTGTGTGTGTGTGTGTAGGTGTGTGTATGTTTGTGTGTGCATGTTTTTTTTATGTGTGTGTGTGTGATTGTGTGTTTTGTTGCGAGACTAACCAACTTGACCAACTTGACTTAATGTCATTCGTTGAAACAGGCGAGCAACTATTAGTAATTCTACATTTTGTAACTGTAACTACTACTACTGCTGATACTACTGCTTCTGCTACTACTACTGCTGCCAATGTTACTACTGCATCTACTACCGCTACTACACCGCTAAAGAATGCTACTATTGCCTTGATAACTAACTACCTTCCAAATGTTTTAAAATTATTTAACGATTAAATGAATGATTGAACGAAAGAATGAATGAATAAATAAATAAATGAGTAAATGAATGAATATATGAATGAATGAATGTATGTACGAATGAATGAATGAACGAACCAATGAATGCTGTTATGAAAAAGATCAAACGAAAAGTTGTTTGAGCATGTATTTTGCATATATTCAATGATAACTACTGCCGAAGCACTACTACTACTGCTGCTGCTGCTACTACTACTACTACTACTACTACTACTACTACTAAATACTACGTGGCATAAATTAATTACTACCCTTCAAACGCTAGTGAAAGTGGCACTCAAAAAATGAAAAAAAGGAGACGCAAGAATGAAACGAAAGATGAACGATTGAATGAAAAGTGAACGAATAAAGAATAAGTGATTGAAAGTAAAGTGGATGAATGAATGAAAACTGAAGGAATGAATGTTGTGGATGAATTGAAATGCATGAGTGAAGATTGGTTGAATGAACGTTTGAAGAATTTATCGAGAAAACGATCAATAAAAAAGAGATAGATTAAAATGAAGAGAAATAGAGAGGAGAGAGAGAGAGAGAGATTAAGAGAAAGAAAGAGATTATAAAAAACGTGAAAACAATTTAAAGAAACAATTATAAAAAAGGGAATAATAAAGAAGTAGAAAGAAAATCTCATCTCTGAAATAAAATTTTAAAATTCATCTCACAGGTCAAGGTTTCCTAATTTAATCTTCTTATAAAAATAAGAAGAAAACTAGAACTAGATAAGTATATATATATATATATATATATATATATATATATATATGTGTGTGTGTGTGTGTGTGTGTGTGTGTGTGTGTGTGTGTGTGTGTGTGTGTGTGTGTGTGTGTGAGAGAGAGAGATAACTTTAAAAGTTATTTCTGATGGTTTTCGTGTATGCATGTATGTGTTATGCACGTGTGAATGAATGTCTGTATTTTGATGTGTATATGTATATATATGTATGTACATGTGAATTTGTGTACGTGTGTGTGTATGTATGTGTGTATACATGTTTTTGTGTAAGAAAATTTAGAAAATTGAAAATGAGGGGTTTATTTAAATTTTTCCCATTCAAAACGTCATTATTCCAGTTTGAAAGATGATCAAAGACAATTCAAATTGCTAGTTATTTATTACAAGTTTTTCAATGAAATGAATTACTGACAGTTTATTTTTATATAGCGCATAATATATGTTCGAATTTGATCATGTCATATCTATTCATGCGTTTCATAAATTTTTTTTAGCTCATTTTAAGCCAAAGAACTGCTTGTGATTTTCTAATAATTTGCTACCACAATTTTTCCAGTTTTTATCAGTTCTTTGTTTTTGTTCTCTAACGAAAATAAAGAAAATTTAAATGTTAATTATTTCTTGAAAGAATTTGTTCACTTTAATTTTTAATAGTTTAGTGAGTTTATAGTTAAATTTTACAAACACTCTTTTGATTCAGTTTTTTCCAGTTAAATGGAAAACTTAAACGTTTTTGAATCTGATGGAAGTTGTTACCAAAATGCTGGACTATTCCCTGAAAATACTGTTGTCCCCGGTAATGGTAAGCAACAGCCCTCACCATGTAATCGATGGCTGCTGGTGGAAATGTCGTTTATGTTTACTTTTACGTGAACAGTTTTTCATTCAAATGTACAATTAATAGTTGTTGTTATGGAGTTGGGGATTTAAATTTATTTGATTTACTTACTACTGCTAAATTTTCAAAGATTAGTTAGTTAGTTAAAAAAACTTAAAATAGAATAAAATTTAATACATTTTTTTGCAGTTGTGAGGGGAAAGTCATTTGTGTATTCAAGTGCTAGCTTGAACAGACGTCAGGCACAATCCTTTGAAAAGGTAGCAAAAGTTAAGGATAATATAAAAGTTACATGCAATATATGCCAGATAACATGTGATGGCCAGAAAGTTAGCTTTTGTTACTCCTTTAAAAAAAAGTTTAAATTAAGTATCAATGAAAAATTATCTAACTGAAACACACAGTTGTTTCACTGATTTAGTATAAAGTTTAATGTTCAGATCATAAATGATAAGAGTTAGTTACTAATTAATTTGTACTTTCATTCATGTTTAGCAATATGGCGATCATTTAAATGGCCAGAAGCACAAGAAGAAAGCTGAAATGGCGGAGAGGATTGCACATCAGTCAGAAAACAACAAAGCAAGTGTGGTTGTTAGCGATTCATTCCAGCAAAAGCAAGAGCAACTGAAACAACTTATCCAATCGGAAAAAGAACAAAGTATTTTAAGACAAAAACAAGAAAAGGCATTGTCAGAGAACAAAACAACCCATCAACAACTACATAGTTCAGCAGCTGATGAACAGTTGTCAGACGAAGATGGGAAGAAGACGCAAGTTCTTTTGAAGCAGAAGATGCAAGTTCCATCTCCGAACATTCCTTTCTACTGCAAGCTCTGCAATGTTTTATGCAATAGTTCAGAACCTTTCAAACTTCATCTGACGGGTGCTAAGCACCTTAAGGTACCTAATACAAAATTTCAATGAAAAAGAATTTCAATTTACTTTTGTCAATTTTTAACATTTCTTCATATCTTTGATATCATTTTTTTTTCTTTTTAAATAAAAGAATTTAACGATTAAAGGTAAAAAAGGCCTATAATGAAACTTTATTATTTCAAAAAATGTATCATTATTTATTATCCATTTCATTCATATGTAGAAAAAAATTTCTCGAAACGAAGCAACAATTTATCGGCTAAATAATATTATATTATGAAAAATTATCTTTGTTAAAATAGATTGAAATGGTTTTTATTTTTCCTCTTTTAAGAAACTTTCGAAACAGAATGATTCTTTAGAAAAAAACAACAACAACAACATTAACATCACCAATATTGCTAGTAACAACAGCAACAACAATAACATCAATAAAAGTAATGCCAATTCAGAAGCTAATGTTGTTTTGGCAAATACTGGTTTGTTGTTGTTGTTGTTATTGTTGTTGCTGACAATGTGTAGTTATTTATTAATATCATTTGGTTTACGTAGTGTAGGTTTGCAACGTAATGTGACGTTACGTTACGTAATGTAATGTAATATAATACATATTATATTATATTACATATAATATATTAAATTTATGACTTAAAATTTTCTTCTTCAAAGATGATGCTGATGCTAATACAAAGACAATTGATACTTTGTTTGACCAGCTTCTTGGTAAGAGTAATTTTAATTATCATCACCAGGGTCGTCATCATCATCGTCAACCATCACATCGTCATCATTCTACCGCATCATCATCTTATCACATTACCATCACTTTTTTGTCGTCACTATCATCGTGATTTCATATTGCTATTTTTATTTCATCATCTTCATCATTATTTTCACCATTTTCATCACCATCATTTTCATCTTCTTCCTCCTCCTCCTCCTCCTCCTCCTCATCTTTTTCTATGCCTTCATCATCTTTCATCCACTCAAAGGCGCTGATTATCTGAGGGAGTTGTTGAATGAGAAAGGAATAATAAATTATAGGTTGGTTCCATATCTGTATATGTTAAATATGAACACGCACACTCACACACACACACACACACACACACACACACACACACACACACACACACATGCAAATGTCACAGAATTAAATTATACTACACAATGTACATATATAATGTAGTACACACAATACAAATAGTACACACAGATACAAATACAAAAATATATGCATCTCAAGGATTGACATACAAATACTGATACATACAGACATACATACATAGATCCATAGATCCTTGTATTTAAACAACTCAAATATATAATACAATACAATACAATATATGCACATGTACTAATGAAAAAAATACCTCAATTGCCTAGGTGTGAGTTGTGTTCGGTTACTATACCCGATGCTCATCACACAAAATTTCATCTGGAGGGTAGGAAGCACAAAGTGAATTACAGGGTTACTATAATAATTTGTAATTATTATTATTTGTAAATATTATAATTATTTGTAATTATTTGTAATTATTTATTTATTTATCATCTTTGTATTATTGCACCAATAACATTGTAGCCTTTTCATTGGAGTGATTATAATAAACGCGAACGAGTGTTACATTAGCAAACAGAGACAGATAAGCAAACAAACCACATCATCATATAAGCCTTATACAAATACACACATGCATTTGTTGTCATTATTTACACAATAAATATAATCAATAAATCTGTTCCACCCTTGAAGAAAAAAGTCGACCCTTCCATAGTTCTGCCACCAAAGCACATAAACAAAACACTGAAATTGCAAGAGGCAAAAGCCCAGAAGAGAAAAATTAAGGAAGATTTTTGGAGGCAGAAGGATATGATGATGACGGGCATGCCAGGTCCATTTGAGTAAGTTTCAGGGGGTGACCAGGGTGGTTGGTTATAATAATTTTTTGGTTTTAATTATGCTATGTTTATATTGTAATTGTAATTTTTCTATGGGGAAGTATTGTACAATATTATGGTATTATTGTTAATCTATTTTATTTATTTCTCTTTGAGGGATTTTTACTCTATGGATTCTGGGTCTAATGTTAGTGGTTATTTTATTCTTTCAAATATATACACACTCACGCTCGCACACACCCACACACTCACACATAGGCACACACACACAAACACACACACACATATATATATACAGAAAAATACAAACTCGAAATACAACTTGTGTTTATAAATTTTTAGCAGTTCAAGGGTTCAACTTACAACATCAAAGATGCATACATTCACAAGAAATGTATTAGCTGTCAACCACTCCCTGCCAAGGTTGTGAATAATCATTGTAGCTAATTATAGTTATTTATAATAATTATTCATAATTATAGTGGTTATTGCAGTTAAAAATAAAATATTTTTGATTTTAATTTTTGGCAGCTTCAGTATGTGTTGAATTTTGTTGATCACTGTGAGCTAGCACTACAGATTGTCTCAGATATCATGGTCCTCGAGTTAGTTCCAATTTGATTATTCTTCCTTTGCATTACTTCAATAGTTCATTCATTCATTCGTTCATTTATTCATTCATTCATTCGTCCATTTGTTTCATCCTTTCTTTCTCTTATTCAACAAAACAGGGAGCAGCAGAGACAAGAGAAACTAGACTCGTCATTTACGACCCAACAACAACAACCTCAAACTAACAACAACAATTACAACGACGAACAAGCCACATCGACATCAACAGCTGCAGCAGCTGCTGCAGCAACGGCAAATGAAAATGCCACACCACCAGCAGCCAGTGTTAATGCCGAAAAGTTCAGAATTTTGCAAGGAGCAATGAGAGTAGGAGGTCTGTGCACCGGCCTCATTCTCGACTCTGACGACAAATTTGACATTGTTGCTCTGACATCTGTCAAACCCACTGTCGAAATGTTGAATTATATCTATAGGTTGTTGCCTGACGCTTTGAAGGTGTGCTTTTGCTGTTGTTGTTGCTGTTGTTGTTGTTGTTGTTGTTGTGGTTTGGCTTGGTTGGTTTCCATTCTCAATGTCATCTCAGTTAAGTTACACACATATATCAAGGATTTATTTTACAGAAAGTCATTCAAAAAGTCAAAGACAACTCTGAATCTCAACAGCAGCAGCAGCAGCAACCACAACAACCACAATATGAATACGACCACGACATTCACATGATAGAAGATGACGACGAAATACTAGTACAAACATGCGATATGTATCAAATCTGTATCTCAATCCACCTAACGTCATCAGTGTACGATGACGAATCTGCTGTACATACAAAGGAGAATGATGATACTAACAATAAAGATGGTGATGTTGCTATGCTATGTGATGATGATGACCAAAATGATGATAATAAAGGTTGATTGTCTTCATCATCTAGTTATTTCATATACATACAGCTAGAATGGAGAGAATTATTATGAAATAATTAATAAATTTATATAAAAATTTTATTTTTTAAAAATTATTTTTGGATATTTATTGTTACTGTACATGTTGTATATTTATATGCCTTTAGTTTTTGCGTATCTATGAGGCCTTGCTTTTTTTTCTTAAATGTTTTTTTATTCATTGATTTGTTATAATATTGATTAATGTTTGTATTTTCATTGGTTAATAATTATTATTTGATAATAATTTATGTAATTATTGCCTTGTTTAAGACGTTTTAATAAGCAAAGAGTTATGCCTGCAATGGTTGAAAGCCCTTAAGATGGCCAATTGGTTTCAGGTTAATTTGTTCAATAAAATTCGTTAAAATAGGCGTAAACAGATCAGTTAATGTTCTAGAATCATAATAATAATGATAACTTATTATTATTATTATTATTATTATTATTATTAGATTAATAATTTTTCAGGTCAGGGCTATGAATTTATTCGAAGGTTTAAAAGTTATGAAGATTTTTAAGAAGTTAAAGATGGAATGCAGAGACGTCGAGCCCATTTCTGATTGGGTTGATATAATTATTAATGACGTCTTACCATAAATTATTATAATTTATTATAATTTATTCATGACTAGGCCCTGGAAGTTTTAGTCGAAAGGTGTTCATTTATCGAGGGCACGAAGGCCACGCCAAGCGATATCTTCAGATGTCTGCTGCAGGTTCTGGCTTCTGGCATTTTACTAGGTCGGTTATGATAATGATTTGGGCGATGGTGATAAGGATGATTTTTGATAATGATAATGGTAATGATCGATCAATCAATCAGCCAATCATTCATTCTTTCATTTGTTCATTCACTCCATCAGACGGAGTGGGATTGCAGGATCCGTGTGAGAATAGTTTGTGTGATGTTTTTGGTGATCTGCAAACGCAGCAAAGAGAGGATTTGACTAAATATGCACAGGTCTTTTTTTTTCGTTTTTTTTCCCTAATTTTTGTTTGATCTATTCAGTTCTCCGTAATCCACATCTTGGTTCTGTATTGTGGATTATTTATTTATTTTCTTAACTGTTGCAGACGGCCTTACGTTTGCTGACCTTTGAAAGACTGCATACCGTACTTAGCATGGAGAAGCTACAAAGGAAGAGTATTAAGCCTCCGGAGAGCAAAAAGTTAAAATCTAACAACGATGATGATGACGATAATGATGATGATGATAATAATAATAATAATAATAATAATGAGAACTCTTTTATTTCAAAGCAAAGACAATAAATAAGTATGAAAATAAAATAATGAAATGTCACAATAATGTAATAAAATGTAATAAAATGTCAATGATTGCCACAATGCTCATTTTTTAGAAAAGTACATAGCGGTGAAGTATATTCAAATATATATCACGAATTGTTTCTGTCACAATATATGCCATACGATAGCTTTATAACAGTCTCTATCAATTCATCGTTGAAAGAATCCGGCCACAAAATTTTAAAAAGTGAAAAATTAAAATTATTATAAAAACCTATTGGTGATATTTCAAAAGTATTTATAATTATTGTGCAGTGTTTATAGTTGTCATTTAGATTACTGTGCAAATTATCTGAATATTTTTTGATCTTGTATTGCCTGGATGATTCAAAATTTGTTTCATGACAGACCGTCAATTCTAAGATCTCTACTGTGTTGCCTAGTAGGATGGCGATGTCAGGTCGTAGAGTGTTGAACAGATCTGATATAGGGTGAACACCGTCAATTTTCAAATCTGCAAACAACCGACAATAGGCAGGCGCACACAGTTTCAATCGGTTGGTGATCGCGGCCAAAATTTTATTGTGTCTTTCAGTGTATCTTTTAAGTGCGGATGTGGAACCGCAGTTAGAAATCACATGTTTATTTGTTTGTTTACAACCGCAGAGAGGGCACAGAGGAGTTTTGCCCCATTTAAACAAATTGGCGTTTGTTGGCAGTTGCTGTACCAAATATTTTCTGGCAAATTTGAAGAGGACTCCAGCAAGATTCTCCAGAGTTTTTGACCAACGAGAAATATTAGTTTTGATGACGGTTTTTATTTTTGATATAATTGTGCCCTGACTCACAAGCGAAAGAACGCGGTTGAGACTTGATTCAACTCTTTCATCTTCCAGCTATTTGAGCGATGATTTTAGGGCATTTGATTTTGAAAGGATATTGTCAACTTTGATGTAATTGATTGTTGATTCTTTGTACAAAATTGAATTTCTTTGTTTTTGTTGGTTTTAAAATAGTTTCGCAGCTTCAATCTCGTTTTCTCTGCGGTATCTTTTAGGGACATAATATTATAGCCTCCCATCTTTGCTGGCAGCGAATTTAGTTCTGCTACACAGCCACTAATTGGCATATCCAACCAGTTTCGGATAGCTTCAACAATTAGATTATCCAGATTCTCTGCTATCCAAGTCAACGAGAAACTGTAGCTGCGAAGTTCAAAATTTATTTGAGTGGTAACAAACCTTCTCAAAACCTGTAGCTTCTGTTGTGGGCGCACATCCAACTTTGAGATCTTTTCCAACAACTGAGTGGAATAATGATAATAATAATAATAATAATAATAATAATAATAATAATAATAATAATAATAGTAATAATAATGGTAATGATGGTAATGATGATGATG